TATTTAAATATTATTTAAATATTGTTTATTGTATATTTAATAATTAAATTTAGACACGATTACTAATCTTTAACTTTAAAGTATTTCAATTTATGTTTAGGTAATTCAAACTGTAAAATTTTAGAGATTCAAAAATATATTCGTTTATATCAAAGATTGAAGAAATACTTTATTATAAAAATTTCATTAAAAAATTATTACTTGTGTGTGCACAGAATATAGTAGCTCCCATATTAAAATTAATTTTTGTTCAAATCGTGTTACGTAACATTTGAAGAAAGTAGCACTCAGTAAAATCGCCATATCTCTTATGAATTATACACAGTTATTCGGTTGGAGCTAATTCCGTATTACTGAACTTGTAAGTTTGTTTAATTTGTAAATTCTAATTTCATTTTTTAAATTTGAATAAAAAAAAATTCATTTGGACTGAATCAAGTGAAATATAAAATCTAGTTATGTATATATAAAAAAATTCTGAAATTATGAGAACTTTCGCTCATTGTCATTTATTATTCTTAAATTTATTTTTTTTACAAAAATTCTTTTCAAATTTTGTTTAAAAAAATCAAATATTAAAAAAAGAAAACTTTACCTCATCATTTGTTTTACATTATTGTATTATATTGTTATACATTAAAAAGTTGCGAACGATCAAAAAAGAAAAAAGTAATGTAGAAGAGTGAGGGTGGAGGGAGGGGGAGGGGAAAGAAGAAGATTTAATTGTATGTATAAGCGGACGTTCACAAACGGGGCGAAGCGGCAAGGAGAGAAAGGCTGGTAGGATAAGAATGTCGGGTGGCGCGAGCGTACTATACCGCGCCAGTTGGGAAATGAATTGTGATGCGGTCTGGCATTGAGGAGAGGAGGGAAGAAGAGAGACACACACGCAGAGCGTTCTCCAATTTCTCACACGGCCCGATTTCACACAGAGAAACGACCAGGCGGCGACAGTGGCAACAACAGCGGCAGTAGCGGCGACAGCGACGATGACGATGATGACGGCAGCGGCCGCGCGGTGATAGCCGTGACAGGTGAAAAGCTTACGACAATGCGTTTGCGTCACATCTCTCATGGCAATTCCGTCATGGCAATTCTGCGTAGATTTTTTCAAGGAGAATCGTCGACAAAGAAGGGATAACGCCGATTCTCTCGCACGAGCAGAGAATCATGTTCGCTTGCAAGTTTCGTTATAAATTTAATTATGTTTCACTGAATCTTATGGCCGACGATTTATATACGAGAAAGCAGAAAACAATAATTTATTGATTAATTGATTAGTGTTCAATGTTTTTCTTTCAATGATATTTCGAGAAGATTTTTAATTATTAATGTCAGTATTGATATAAATGTCACAGACAATATATTATCAATGATTTATTTTATTATGACTCAAATAATTGTAAAGAAAGTTAAAACGAAACAGCATGTGTACAAACATTATAAGTTTCTTATAAATTTAAATTAGGTACAAGAAGAGAAGACTTTCTCGTTAATAAATAAGCTTTACAAAAGCAATTGTAGAGAGAAATAAATGTTTTTTTCGTAAATGCAATTTTCAGTAGATATTATTGATCTTTTTTGTAATCCCCGCAATCGGTCATGAAATGTTTCATGCTTCTCGAAAATAATAATGGATGTGAAAATGTGCACTGTTCGCTATGACAAATGATCATTATTTTAATATGACGATGATAGTTTGTTTGATAAAAACAAGAGAATTTTTTATGAATACGATTTGTCGAAGACGAGATGATTATATGCCGAATCCATTGTTTCGTCCGATTCCGATTGCTCAAAAATAACAGTAAACAATAAATGATTGAGCAATAACAAGAGAACTCTCGATGAAGTAGTTTCGTAAATTGCAAGTAGCTGAGGGAGTTTGCGACTTCTAGGATAATCCTGCTATGATTTGCGATTATCTCAGTGCATTCGACATTGCCATTTCGCTGTAACTCGGAGAGAGAGAGAGAGAGAGAGAGAGAGAGAGAGAGAGAGAGAGAGAGAGAGAGAGAGAGAAGGATATAATCTTTAAATATTTAATGCACGAATTTATATTTATAAAAGAATTGATTAAATGTATAGAGAGCATTATTTTGTGAAAAAGTTGAAAAGATATTTTTTAATTACTCAATTGCTTTCTTTCATTAGGCGGTTCAATTAATTGATTAACATTTTTTAAATTTAATTATAGACCTGTAAGACAATTTTTAGATAAATCTAAAATGAATTAGTCCAATCGATTTGTTGATATTTTTATACACACACACACACACACACACATACACACACACACACACACACACACACACACACACACACACAAATTGTCTTTTATTGACTTACATAGACATTTAATATATATTAACATTTATTAAATATATAAATATATATTCAAATTCTATTATTTAAATAAGTTATTTGAGACTTTAATTACACAAATACTGTTTAGCATTTGATCTTATAATTTATTGATATTTGATATTTCAAAAATTCTTATAGTTTATTCTTATAGTTTATGATATTTATATTTACATATATGTATAAAATATTGGGTTGTCCGGAAAGTTCGTGCCGACTAAAATTTAAATTTTAGTATACATTTATTAAATTAAAATTTTTTGCGTTTCAATTATATTTTAATTTCATTTAAAGAACAATTAACAAAGATAGATTTTAAGACTAAAGTATTCATTGTTGTATTCGTTATATGTAATTGTCTAAAAACGGCCATAGCTATAATCTATAATTAAAAACTGATGAGCAAAAGGAATATACTCACGACACGCAGGAAGAAGAATTGACTTATTCAGCAGCGATTATTTACGACGGAATAAGTCCACTCAAGGTCTTATTCTACCAGCTTTTATCAGTAGTGCAGATGACCATTAGTCCGCTTAATCTCGCGAATGTTTGCACTGTGATCATCAAATAAAATATTAAATCATTTTTTTTTTTCTTTATTTCATAGCCCCCAACAATTCGTAAAATTCACGAATATCTTCGTATCTTTTGAATGAACGTTCCAGGAAGATTTAAGAATAATGTCAGTATTGAACAAATTAATATGTTACGAGTTCTCTCTCTCTCTCTCTCTCTCTCTCTCTCTGCTTCTATCTCAAGTTGGTAACAATTGTTGGTAACAAAAGTTGCATTTATTATTTATATTCGATTATTAACGGGAATATCCTACAAAACGAATTGCTCACTTATCATGATATTTAGCACGGTATGAAGCGATAACATGCTTCATCTACGTTATTCTAGGAGAAATAATAAACATTCGAAAAAAGAGAAAAAAAAGGAGAGACATTAAGAAGATGTCTTCGTTCGTTATACATTTGACATAGTCTAATTGTATTCTCTCTTTCTCATGAATCACTTTAATAAATATATACACACAACGATTAAATTGGATATTGTTTAAAATAATTACTCGGGCGACATTAACGACGACGACAATACAAACTTCATTATTTGGTGCGAATGCAAGCGAGATAACACTATGCAGTTTAGAGGAATAACCTTTTTCCTTTTTATATCTCTCGAATAACGGATCGATGCCACCGCCTTCCCTCCACTCACCTCTTCATTCGCGACGTCTGATAAAATTAACCGACGATATTTTGGAAACTCGCTATCAAATTTTATTCGACAAACGCGACTCGCATTACAAATAAATACCGTACGAAGATGATCCAACTCTGCGTACATAGGATCAGCATTTTTTACTCATATATTATAATAGCCGACTTTATTGAAATATTTTGATATTAATTTCGATATCTCATTAATCTTGCTAGTTTGGAACTTAACAGAACGGTAAACATAAAACAAATGAATACAAAGTACAATAGTAATTAGTTAATATTAAAATTCGATAGATATTTGTGAGCAATAAGATAAATAAAAAAATATAAATGAGATATGAATGTAAGTTAATATTTTCTATATACTGTAGAATAATACATACGCAGATTTAAAAGGCTTATGCGATAACATTTCTTGCTAAATGTAAAATGTGAAAATTTTGTGAAAATATCACAAGTCTTTTTCAGATAATATTTTATAAAATTATTAATAATGCAGTCGCAATCAAGAATAAAATATGAAAATTTTTGTCGATTCTGTATTGTGTTTTAAGATTTATTTATTATAATAAAGAAAATGTCAACTAGTAATTCGTATATTTACGAATTCAGCAGAGATAAAAAGAAATTATGATTAAAATTAAAAGTTATTATAAAAACAGTATAATTTTAAAAAGCAAATAATATCTTTAGCAATTTAAGCTTCAACTCGGAATTTGCTGATACATCGATTGAAAAGATTTAGTAAATATATCAAAGATAGTTATGTAACAATTGATATATCAAAAGCGATATATTGTGAATAAAATTTTTCAAAAAGCAGATAGATATACAGCACATCGCGGTCTCTGGTGTTCTAATTGCAAAACAAATTCCGTGTTTTTATGTACTAAAACAAATCGTATTTCTTGTCCCTCGAGTAAACGCAAACAAACATGATGATGTTATAAATAATTTGGCTATGAGTGTTTTACCTAAAAAATAGATTTATTTTGAGCAAAGAGCAATAACGGTAACATCGTTGAATTGTGGAGTAATATACTCATATTCTCTGGATTGCATCTAATAATTAGTCACTTAAATGTTACCTGTCTCACTGCACAACTAAAACTGGTGAATCAGACACACCGTCCAATTTACAGCGTAAATTACGATTATTAACGGTCCATGCCCTTCATCGCTTATATCTCATCGTCTTCTCCCAGCTTTTCCATCTATCATGTCCTTTTCTCATGGTAATCTTTTCCTAAATAAACATGTAGCTACTTGCAGCCTTTAGGTCAAGAAACGACGCTATTTACAGTCTACTGGATAGCATTAAAATGTAAAACAATATTGATTTAATGTGCGATTAAATGAAAAACCGTTGTATCGTTTTTTTTTTCATTTTTGTATCGCAAATTGCATCGTAAATTCAGCATTGCATCTAATGTACAATATTTTGGCTTGTAATTTCTGAATTTGAAATGATTTCACGCTGTATTGCTTACAATGATATTGTGCTAAAAGAGAGTTGCTAAATATTTTAATGTACTTAGTGATATTAATAAGAAAGAACATGTGATGACTAGAAAATCTAAATTATTAATACATTTAGTATCAAGTGTTATTAGGATACAATATCAATACTTATCTTCGTGCGTATTAATTAGAATTTTAAAAAATTGATAATTTGTTCCATTTTTAAAGCAATAACTTTTTGTTCTTTGATCTTTACAAAAAAGATCTTGCTTCAATTTAAAAAATGCGAGAAAAAATGATATCGAGTAATTTTTTTAAGCTTGAGAACCACCAATAAAGTAAAAAAAATATTTTATGCACATTGATTTATGGAAGAGAGAATATAAAAACTTATATCACTAACTGTAAGACCTAAGTTTCTTGTTAAAAAAAAAACATACATAAAAAAATCTCGGAACAAATATTTAAAAAAATTTTTTGAAATAAAAATAGTACAGAAAAATTCAGGTATCACGTCACGTATAGATAGTCCGAATATCGCAAAGCGTGTGAATAAACTTGGTTTGCGCAACAGGACATTGTCAATATGTATGTACATATACACATATATTCTCTTGAACATCTGTGGCTACAAAGAGGCAATGGATTTATGACTGCTGTATATTTGTCACGAAAAGAAATTGCTCTTTCATGTACATACAGGATGCGTTTTAATCGGTGTCAAATATTCTCAGAACGTATATTCTCATCGATCAATATTGGACAATTCGCATGAATATAGTAGGTGTAATAAAAAGAAATCCATTATTTTTGCATGAAATTGAATGGAAAAATAATGGATTTCATTTTACTACACCTAATATATCTAGAAATGCTTAGTTTTAAAATTATTAAAGATTTTCCAATCACCATAGAAGAGAGCATTTTGAACAAAATGTTCTGTCTTAAATTTTATATTGTTTTTGTTTTTTGTTAAATTTGTCTTGTTTAATTTACATTCTTGCTCCATTTGTTCCATTATTGTTAAATAATAAAATTTCTTCTAT